CTCTGCTTTTGATTAGAGCAACGGCGCTAGGAGATGGAAAATTCTCTGCTGCTTCTTCCTGCCACAATATCTAATGCCATTATGGGATCAGTGTTTCCTCCACCAAATAAGATGCTATGAATGCCTAAATTGGGAAATCACTGGAAGTGCTGTATCGCAGTTGTGTGCTTGTGCGTGCACATATATGTGTGTAAACATTAAGAAATTCAGGAGTTGTAAGAACTCTTGATTTGTGTACGTGTGGTAAAGGGAAATAGTAACACTTAGTATTCCAACTCTGGAGGCACTTTCCCAGATCTCCTTCATCATATATGTTTAAACTGCAGGATAGCATGTGGATGTATATACTATACATCCACAAGCATAAGTTATATAGTAAAGTATATAGCTTATGTAGCAATGGCAATTCAGAATAATCAGCAAAATGTCTTCACCTTAGGTTACCAGGGTCAAAAGTAGTAGCATTACAGTAGTATTAATTATGGTTTCAGGTTTGATACTAACAAGACCAGTGTAGCTTTTTTCCTGGTACCCTTTATATGGATTGGGTCTGAAACTTTTAAAATTCCCACCCAGCATCTGGAGAAACCTAAATTGAGAGGAAAAAAAATCAGTTGATGAAGGTGTTGCCTGAAGCAGGCTATTGCATTAAGCCAAATATTCATTTGTTTGGGCATATCATGGGTGCAATGTATCATATATGTGTTTGCATAGGTTTAGTATATGGTGTGAGCCAGACACAGAGGGAAATGGAGCCGGGATGAGAATGTTAGGAATAGCATTGAAGTACAGGAGAAATATAGAGGGAAAAAAGAATGGTGTATAAAAAGAGTCAACAGCTTGATATACCCAAATATTTGAACTAGCTAGCTAGCATAACCAATGGCAAAGCATGTATTGGGATCGTGGTGCTACTTATTAACCTTTCCATGTATGGAATTTTTCATGACTCTACAATACAACCCTGTATTTATTTTTTGGTTCTTGGAGGTTTTTTTTTTTTAAAGGAAGAGGTATAATTTGATTAAACAGAAACCAGAGGGAGCAAGGTTTTATCTGTTCACTAAGTGTCTCCCCAGAGAATGAGAAGCAAGCAGATGTCTCTTTCATACCTTTCTCCCCAATAATCAGCTTCAGTTTAATTGCAGCCACGTTTTTTCCCTTATGCACTTCAGCCGCACAGTCCAATTCATACTGTTTTACTTTTGGTATAGGAGTGAGCAGCTGAGGTGTGCAAAGGGAAACATTTATCAAAGCTGCAAGGGTTACGGGACTTGGTATTTCACTGGGTGGATGTGATAAAGAGCCCTTTGCTAGAGGCTGGGGTGGTGATGCACAAAATAAAGTTGGAGTGCTCTCTCTTTCCTCAAAGGACCAGTTTTTGGCCTCTGGGCTACCAGATAACTCCTGTGCAATGGTTAGTTTAATATATGACTCTCAGTGTTTACCTACTTGAACAAAACAGTCTATTCTGCAGAGTGTCAGTACTGTGATTGCTCTGTACTTTGTGATCAGATCTGTGCTAATGGGTTGTTATTTATTTATTGATATCCTGCCTTTATTATTTTTACATATAACGTAAGGCAGCAAACATATCCTCATATTTTCCCTATAACAACCCCAAAAGGTGAGTTGGGCTGAGAGAGAATGACTGGTCCAAGGACACCCAGCTGGCTTGCGTGGCTAAAACAAGACTAGAACTCACAATTTCTGGTGCACCTACAGAGCAGGAAGGGAAAACATGGCTGCAAATGTTTGGAGGCGCAGCATTTGTTTCATGTCTTGATTAAAAGTAGGAGCATTTAAAATAATACTCTGAATGGAATCTACACTTTTTGTTCAGACCTTTCGTTGTGCCGTGATACAGTTGTATAAGAATGGTGTTCCTGTGGGTACTGGTTTCATGAAATCAGAGATGATTTTGCCCTGGGATCAAAAAAGTGGCTTAAAAATAGTTGAAATATGAAGTAAGTGGATGGGATAATTATAAGCAGCTGCATCTTCAGTTGCACAAGCTGTTCCTGGGTTTTAGGCAACCTTGGTAGCTATTTTGCAAAACTAACTTTGAAACTGTAATTTGGCTCAGCCTTGGGGGGGGGGGCGGGGGAGAGTCACAAAAAGAATCTTGATTGTATCCTAAATGCTTATATATGCTCACAGAGAAAAATTAAATTCAAAAATCCAGCTAATTCAGGGTGTTCTACCAATATGGCCCAGATTTTAACAATTTTACTTTGATGCGAAATAACTCACTCAGTGAGGCAGGCAGACACTTTTTCAAGTCACTTCAAAGTCAAGTCCATGAAACCTACATATTCATTTTCACACAAACGTGTGTTTTTGTTTCCAGTAAGGATTTGAAAATGAATACTGTAGATCTGCACAGGTCTAACTCTTCAGACACAATGTTTGTATCAACTCACTTCCTGTCAGGCCTAATATTTTCTAACATCATTCACACATTCTGTAATAAGAAAGAATGGATTTTTTAAACTGCAATGTCTATGAATAATTTGCATATGTGAATGGGCATCATTGATGTATTGCCACAAATGGAACTTGCACAATGCCTCACAATGATTCAAAGGCAAACTTTTCTAGTATTTCCTATTCATATATATTCTGTTTTTTTTCCAGAAGGGGATTGATACATGGATGCTTGTTACCTGAATTATGGGAATGGGTGAACAAAGATACCAAAATCAGAAAACTGATAGCTCAGAACATCTGTGTTTTGAGTGGGGAATCCATTAAAATCCTTGCCCTCAAATCACATAGCATCAAGCAGGGTTGATTCTGTTATCATCCCAACTAGCTAGAAAAATCAGATGATGAGAAATGGTGTGGCATAGTTCCTAAAATGCCTGGAGGTTTTTTTTATTTTGCTTTTTAATGGCAAAGATTCGAGTTACAGAGTCAGAGATATTTTGATTTCAAAATGGGAAGTGACAAATGCCTTTTGAAGGTACTTTCCTGTTAAAGATAACACACACTGATGCCAAGAGATAAAATTCCATTTATATTCTGTTTTATCCCTAGGTATCAAGGCAGATTTATTTTGAAACATGAAAATGTAAGCTACAATATCTACTGTTTGAAAAATGTAGGTTGGTCCCAAGTCTATTTGGTACCTTGTTTATCTCTCCTCACTCATTCATTCATTGACCCTATTTTGGTTCACACAGATGTATCTACCATTTAATTTCTTAGTACCTGATCCCAGCATCTCTGAGGCCAGTTGACCAGGGCACAGAAACCATGGCCAACACGGACCGAATTATCATAATTGCCTTCAGTACAGTATTTTATTTCCAAAGGAATCAGTTTGCATAGTCCACAAAGAAGTTGTCACAGAAGACTCAAGCAATTGATAGCACGATCATGAAGATGATAGCGGTCTGGGGAAAACTTAAAGCTGTTTACAGTGTGTTACGTTTAAAATACTGCACAAAAATGTAAAACATAAACCTGTTTGTTCTAATGCTTAAAATGCTGGATTAGAATCGAGACAGCGAATCTAATCCTGCCTTATACACAGAGGTGGTATTCAGCAGGTTCTGACCAGTTCTAGAGAATCGCTAGCGGAAATTTTGAGTAGTTCAGAGAACCAACAAATACCACCTCTGACTGGCCCCACCCCCATCTATTCTCCGCCTCCTGAGTCCAAGCTGATCATTGGCTGGATCTTCTTTTGTTGCCCTGCACAGGAGAACAGAGCTGGAAAGTAGGTTAGTGGGATGGGGAGGGAATGTGGATTTTGCAGTAACCTTCCCCCTGGAGTGGGATGGGAGTGGAGATTTTACAGAATCCTTCCCCTGCCATGCCCACCAAGCCATGCTGGTAGTAAAAAAATTTGAACCCCACCACTGCTTATACATCTGAATGACCTTAGGCTGGTCACTCTCTCAACCCTAAGAAGTAGCCAAGGACAAACCACTTCTAAAATCTTGGCAAGAAAACTGCAGATATTTTTTTGTGGCCACTAAGAGTTAAGGTGACTTGATGGACTAGTAACAAAATGCAAAACATGATATAAATTCTGCCTTCTGGATTATAGCCTTAACAAATGTGGAGGGAAGGGTTTTATGATTTGGGGTTTACCCTTTTTATCTTACGTGCCATGACTTACATGCCATTGTTGATGCTGTTTGATCTTTGTTTGCTGTCCAGAGTCCCAGTTGTGAGATTGACAGTTATAATTAATCTAAATAAATAAAAATAGGTTCCTGCATGGAAGAGAATGGTTTGTTGCCCAAAACAACTGAAAAGATTTAGCTGAGTTAGACATGGCAGAGAACAACTGTTGAAACTAATAAGGTTGTGTAGGGTGTTAGCATTTCAGAAGGCAGCTAATATTCTGGACTGCTGTTTCTAGTATTTTTATTATTAAGAATTTTTAAAATCCCACTTTTATATAACTCAAGGCAACAAATTTACTTGATATGCCTGCCTATTTTCTCCACAACAACCTTGTGAGGTGGGCCGGGCTGAAAGAGAGGACCTGACTCCAGACCACTCATCTAGCTTTCATCCCAAAGGCAAAACTAGAATTCACTCTTTGTTTCTAGCCCAGCATCTTTGCCATTGCATCCTCCTGGCTCTTTCTTTTTAATCTGCCTATTTTTAAAAATTTAATCTCTATATTTTAATCTACATATCACATTTTGTAAATATTAAAATAGATTGTTATTTGTAATGCTGTTAACCAGTTGGTTTGCTCCCTGGTGGAGAAGCAGGATAAAAATATTGTAATTAAAAAAAAATCCAAATGAGTCTAAAAGTAATATTTTATTTTTTTATATATATATTTTAAAGATCTCCACACACACACATGCACATACACTCCGCTACTGAGCCGATGAAAAACAGCGGTTATTTGACTATGATAACCTGGATATAAATATGAACTGAATATTAATTAAAACGGTACAACCCTCACCCCCCCCTTCACTCTCCTCCCCTCACAGCCGGCCGCTCCGGAGCCTTCCCTTTCCACCCCACGTGGCTGGGAGGAGCGTCGCCGCGGCATGGCTGTTCCGGGGTCCGGGCTTGCGTTGTATCCAGACACGGGTATATGGGATCGTGAGAAAGACCCGATCCGAGGCTGGCCTGGGCTAAGCAGGCGAGAGCGGGATGCAGCTGTGAAAGGAGAAGGGCGGGGAGGGGGGGTGCATCGGAGGATCGGGGCGCCGGGGTTCATTTCCCCCCCCCCCAAAAGCTTCTTTTACTACGCAGGGACGATCCCCTCGTTCTCATAAGCCTGCCGGTGCCATCCCTTCGCGGGTGAGCGCGGTGTAGAGACATGCGGGGAAATAAGAGACGGGAAAGGCAAGGGCGATGGGGGTCAAAAGCGTGTAATTATGGTGTGTCCAAGTCCCCGCGTGTTTGCTGTTGAGGTCTGTGCTGGAACAGCAACTTTCAAATAAATAAGATAAAATAAAACCTAGATTGCAGTTTTAAAAAGTTTGGCGGGAAGAGAGATAAACGGCTAGGGCGGCTATTCATAATGCTTCCCGAAGCTATGGACGAAGCAATGTCCCACCTAAAAGATGGGGACGCTAATGAAAATATTTAACAATATCTTACAGTTTAAATCAACCCTACAACCTTTTAAAAGTGGAGCTGAGGTCAAACAAGAGGGCCCCGCATTAAAAAGAAAAAATGCTCCCTTGAGTTAACTTCAGTTCCTGGTGACTACATTGGCCATAGTATGAAAACAGTTTCTTTCACCTTATTTTACAATGTTTCTTTTTTTTTAATCTTCCCACATTTGTCTTCAGATGTTTGCCAATCCACATACTAACTAGTCCAAATATGCTTAGTTTTTATAAACTCAGCTATCAAAATGGGCATTATTAAACACATGAAAGGATTAGAAGCTCTGAACACTTTACTTGTCTACGTAGTACAAAGATAACATTTATTTACCAAGAGGTATAGTTTTATAATACTACATAAAAATTTAAAACAACCGAAGAAATGAATGCAATGTTATAAATAAAAATAAAATAATACAAAAGTTAAAAATAAGACCTAAGCTAAAAACTATTCTCCAACCTATGTGAGCATTAAGATAGCAATAATTAAAAGATTCTGAGAAGTTCAGGTGTGGGGGAAGAAAAACAAGAGAAAGGAAATCATGTTGGCGCCAGGTGAATTTCCCCAAGGAAATAATACAGACAGAAAGCTATAATTAAACAAGTCCTGTCTCTAGTATCCACCTCCTGAGGTTCAGGATGAAAGACTTGGTGAAGTGGTGGATACTGAGATCACAAGCTGTTAAGAGGCCTGAGTCTATCTCTTGAAACGAGCTTGAAAACCATTGAGTAAACAGAGATTAATATATTTCCCTTTTAAAGATAGGGAGAAGGTATGATATGAGAAGAAAATGTGAAGAAGTGGGGAGTTTCCCTATACTATTTTCTATATTTTATGTTCCTTATGATTATCTCAACATCAGTGAACTGAAAATTCCTTTTCCATCGTCAACGTTGGCCAAGATTGCCTTGGGTTCTCTGGCCCCAGATCCTGAGCCTCGCAAAGGAGGGATCATCAAAGAACTGGATGTGACAGACAACATTTTACATGTGTGAGTGTGACTCATAGGCCTCCATCTATAGCATGGGTCCCCAAACTTGGTAACTTTAAGACTTGTAGACTTAAACTCTCAGAATTACTCAGCCAGCTGAGGAATTCTGGGAGTTGAAATCCACGAGTCTTAAAGTTGCCAAGTTTGGAGATCTCTGATCTATAGCTAGAAGAGGCAGGGGGCATGATCTATCAAGAGAAACAGCCTTAGGGGAACCAGGAGGAGCAAGCTGGCTTCTGCTTGCTAGTGCAATTTCATATTTGATGTCAAGTTTGCCATTGGGTTGATAGAGCCTGCTTTCAGAACTGGGCATCACCCTTGGAGACTTGAAACAAGAGAGTTTGGTGGTCAGGGCTAGTTTGATGAAAGACCCAGCATGCTGTAAAGTGTAAAGCAGTGGATTGGGATTGGAAAGACCCTGATTCATATTCTTGATCAGCCATAAAGCTCTCTGAGCCTAGGTTGGTCAGCTTTATTTATTTTATAGAGTTGTTGGGAGGATAAAAATTAAGAGAGATTATTACATATGTCACCTTGAATTCCTAGAGGAAGGTGGATTATAAGTGCAAAAAGTAAAGGAAATCAGTCAGTAAGGTCTGCACATTCAGACAATAAATCTAATATACGGTACTGTAGAAAGTGCAGTGTTGATGTGAGACCAGTCTTGTACCATTCACAATGTGCCATTCATTATTTTTGTTACTATTATTTCTAGGCAATGGAGAGCAGAGGAAGCTAGGATCCTGCGTGTTTCCATTAACTCCTTCTTGGAGCATCTCTCCTTGGTGGTGGAAACTATGGATCTATTTGGACCACCTGTGGCTTGATAAACTGTTATATCAGATCAATAAAATGGCTACTGGACTTGGCCACTCACAGCTGATTTCAGAGGAGGCATTGGACTGTCCTTTCTTGGAGCCAGGATGGAAAACAAGATGAGTACTTGTACTAGGGAGCTCAAGAACCTGATAAACCATTTTGCACCAAGAAGTAGGCAAGTTTAGAATTGCCTTGGCCTTCCTCCTCCTCCCCCCCACCCCCCCAAAACAACCTGATGTTCTCCAGATACGTTAAGACTTCAACTTCCACAAGCTACAAGCAGTCTGGCTAAGGTTCTTGATTGGGAAGATACATTTTACTGAAAGTTATGTGTATATGATATGTATTTTTATTATATTATCCCATTCATCTTACACCCTGCATGTGTTTACTAATAAAATATTTTTGACTATGGGAAAAAACTGCTGGACAAATGATGTGGTCGTAACAAAATCTTAAGAAAGATGTTTTTGGGGGCCGGGCTCCTGGATTAAAAGGTTTATGAACATGATGCAAACGTTGGATGCATGATGCACAATGTTTAGAAGAGGATGCCATCTGTGATTTAGAAATAGAAACAGGAAACTATCTATTCTTTTTGTTAAATATGTCAAGCAGGCAGTCCTGCAAGGTTTATGAATTTATGACTGGTGATTTCTCCAGCAAATGAAATTAACAGACCTATGATTGGTCCTTCCATCCAGCTGGTTTGATAGGGCTGTTTTGAAATATTAACAGGAAATTGGTCATCTGAGTAGTTTTTTCCAAATCAAAGCCAAAATATGTTGGAAACCTCAGTTTTCCTGTTTTCTGTTATTTTCTTGCTACATATTCTTTTTCCCTTGAAGGTCACATAACAATATGAGATTGGTAGTTTTTAACTTGAGGAAATCTGCCAGTTTCTAATCTAGGACTAATCCCCATTGAATTTAATGGAGTTAAAACCCAGGTAAGTTTGCATAAAGTCATAACTGACAATGCACTATTTGTGTGCATTTCTGCTGAAAGCACTCAGCACTTAGTGTAACTCTAAGTGAATAAATCAAACCCCCCCTCCCCCAGTCAATGTGAGACAGTACAAAATTGAGCAGAAAATATGGGTTACAGTAACAAAAATACGAACTGACAGTGAATGGCACCCATTGCCAGAATTATTGGGAAAATGCTTTGGGCAGTTACTTTCTCAACAGGGGCTCATGGCAACAATCCATAGATATGACTGCTCTTGTAACACATCCTTTCACCCTCCACAAGTCAAACTGCTTAATCATACAGAGAGCTCATTTGGGTGTCAGATACTCCCTGTGACAGGTATATAATAGTAGTACCTGTAAATTGATAAACCAGCAAGGATGCAGATAACAAGTGTGGCTCTGCTTTGCTCTGGTTGCTTACACCAGAACTGCTCCCCCAGCTTTTTCGGCACCAGGGACTGGTTCCATGGTGAGACATTTTTCCACGGACCAGAGAGGGTGTGGTTTCAGCTGTTGCCTGCGTCCTGTGAATGGGGTTTTGCTTGTTTCCGGCATGACTTGGCGCTGTACCGGTCCACAGACTGGGGGACGGGGAGTGTTTGGGACCCCGGTTTATACAGTGGAGAACATGGCTTGATTTTGAGTCACACTTGCCCCATAGCCTTAATTCCAAAATTGCCATTCAGAGTAATAATGACAATTTGCTGTGTGGAAGGAAATTCAGAAACGGCAGAGGAGAGAACTGGCCAATGGTCATTGTTCAGTTTTAAAGGTGGGTTGAATAAATCCACAGCAGAAAGATCTACCTTTTTTGAAAAAAAACGAGGTCTTTAAATTGTAAAAAAAAATTAAAAGAAAAAAGTGCAGAAAGAAGGGAAAAATAATAAAGAAGTGGTTTCCAAATTTCAACCATACTCAGCATAAGTTAATATACTTTTTCACCTCTTCTTAAAGTTACAAATAAAAAAACTCATCCACATAGCCTAATTTTTATTTACTGTATAAATAAATTATAAATAATAATTAGTCCAGAAATAATCTTTTCAATCCTAGTTCAGCAAAAAGTCTGTTAGGAGTAGTAGGTCCAGGAATATCAAACAAATTGTGTATCCCTGTTCAAACAGTCCAACTTTGTATAGCATTCCTTCTTTTTGCCCTATAGAACCTTGATCTTTAAATTATTCATACGATATCACAGGATTTCGTTTTTCATTTTTCATATTTAAAGAAGGCTTTAGAGTTTTCACCACCTTTCTTAGTAAAATCCACAGAGGCATCACCCATCATTTCTTGTGGCAGCTTTTCATAACCAGATTCTTTTCTTGATTTGGCTTTTGTAATCTCATTTTAGTAATTTAAATTTTATTGTCTTCCATGCCTTCAAACTCTGTAATGTTTATGTCAGGTTAAAGGTTTTTTCCCCCCTCGTTATCTTATAAAAGTTTATCAATTGAAATATGTATCTTTTCTGAGATGCTAATTATCAATATTTCAATCCATGTTTTAAAAAAAACACTTAAGATACAAAAAAGATATACAGTACAGTATTGTAGCTGGTTTAGCCATTTTAGCTCTTTAATGCCTGGCCCTTTTGCTCCCTCTAGCGTCCATTTGCAACTTTCATCAAGCCTCAGTTACTAATATGGATTTAGTTCAGCTTCAAGTCATTTCTCACAAATATATTATTTGATATAATTTTTCAAATCTTACAGCAAAAATAATATTTCAAATCTCTGTGGTCTTCTGATCCACTTAAAACTTTTAAATCCTTCCTTCCTTCCTTCCTTCCTTCCTTCCTTCCTTCCTTCCTTCC